CCTACTTTTATTGTTTTCTTCTTGTTTATTTGTGGAGTGCAGCAAACGTGCCGTCATCTTCGACTCAACAGTAACTCAAGCCAGTCTTACTACATCGGAAATTCAGGGTGAGCTAATGCTTCTATCTTGGACTGGATCTTCCTCTTCAAGTCTTGATGCCTTGAGCTTCCGGCATGGACTAGCTTCTTATGTATTTTTAGCTTCTTAGAATACTCTTAGTTTAGTAATTTGATTATAGATGTTCTTGTGATGATGACTTCCAGATTTTGGGAATAATAATAGTTATTGATTTTATTAATGAGTTTAAGTCTTCCGCATTACTTTATGTTGATGTTACCTTGAAATGTTAAGGTTTAGATTGGTTGGTTCGCTCACATAGGAGGGTAAGTGTGGGTGCCAGTCGCGACCCGGATTTGGGTCGTGACAATTGAAAATTATAAATATATGATGAATATTTAAACAAAATCACATGATAATTGAAACACTCGACTGAAAATCCGTAATGTGCATAATCGGTGCTTTAAACATCAAATTAAAAAAATAATTTCGAATGATAGAAATTATCTTGCCAATCGAGAAATCAACTTGAATTAATAAATATCTTTGGTTTAACAATAAAGAATATCTTGGTTATCAACAATTTAGTACTTGAAGGAATCTAAACTTGAAAGGTGAGATATGGTGAAGAAAAGTGAAATATGGGGAAGAAAGGTTAATGATAATGAAAAAAGGTAACTTGTATTAGTTTAACTTTTTCAGTTTAAAATGGTTATTAGTGTGTATTTTAGTATTTAAAATTAATTTTATTTATGGAAAGAGACATTTATTGGACCAAAATATACACTAATAACCGTTTAAAACTGAAAAAGTAAACTAATACAATTTACCTTTCTTCATTATCATTAACTTGTCTTCCCCACATTTCACTTTTCTTCACCATATCTCACCTTTCAAGTTTAGATTCCTTCAAGTGCTAAATTGTTGCTCACCAAGAAATTCTTTATTGTTTAACCAAAACTATTTATTAATTCTAGCAGATTTCTCGATTGGCAAGATAATATCCATCATTCGAAATTATTTTTTTTGATTTGATGTTTCAAGCACCGATTATACACATTACGGATTTTCAGTCGAATGTTCCAATTATCATGTGATTTTGTTTAAATATTTATCATATATATAATTTTTAATTTTTTTTGTGAAATTCTTTTAATTTTTCAGATTCTAGAAATTCATATACATGTTTATTTTGTTTGATGTTGAATACATTTTAATATTTGAATACATTGTTTTAATATGATATTGAATATATTTATATCATTATACAAAATATAATATAAAAACTAGAAAAAAACAAATCCAAATAATATATCCATTAGAATGAATATGACTTAGGAAATGAAACATAATTTTTAAAAAAATACACAATAAAAAAAAATAAAATGAATACAAATATATTTCTTAAATAATTAAAGATTTATATGACATACCAATTGGAATGAATACGAACTAATAAAAAATACACGTTTAATTATACAAAATACAACATGAAAACTAGGATGAATACAAATGACATACATATTGAAATAAATACGATCTAAGAAAGGATACAAAATTCTAGTAAATAAAATAAATACATTGCAAGAAAGCATGACAAATAACACATAATAATACAACATGAAAACTAGAATGAATACAAATACAAATGACATACAAATTGGAATGAATACGATTAAGAAATGATACAAAATTTTGGTAAATAAAATAAATGCACTATGAGAAAAGTATGTCAAATAACATATAAAACTATAGGTGTTCAAATTTGTAAAAATTTTAAAAAATCAAAAGTTTTAATGGATAAAACTCTAAGGTATTATCATAAAATTTTATAACCATAACTAGTTTTTGAAAGATAAGGAAAAATAATGACCTTTAGGAAGAAGAATGAGACCACTTATTTTAGGTCTCATAATATTTTGTAAGGAAAGTTATAAAGATTTTCAGCAACTTAATTTAATTTGAAATATTCCCTGCCCGCTTGATTTTCTCTAATTTGTTATTTCTTAATTATATTATGTTAAATTAAATAAAGAAAAAAATATATAAATTAACCCATAAAAAACTAAAATATTGTCATTTTCAATAAATATTCAAAGTATTGCTTAGGGATCCTATTAAATGTCAAAATATTGTTGTTTTGAAAAAAATTCCATGCACTTAATGGCCCAAAACAAATGCAAATGAGGCCTTATATTCAGATGTTTAATTACAAACAATTTTAATCATTTAGGGACTGTTTGGTTACCGGTTAGAGTTAGAAGGTATTAGCTATTCAAGATTTAGTTAAGCAGGTATTACTTATGTAGAGTTCAGTTATGCAGGTATTAGTTATACACGATTTAGTTATGCAGGGTTTAATTATGCAAGTTTAGTTATGTTGGGTTTAATTAAATGGATATTAGCTATGTGGATATTACTTATGTAGATATTATTTAGTTATATAGAGATTACATTGAATATAAACTTGTTATAAATTATTAATATATATTATTTACAAAATAATAATACATGCTAATAGAATCTGAAATATATTTAATAATATATAATGCTAATATTTGATTAGCATATGTACCGTTAAAAAATATACGATCAATTTCTAATATTAAAAACATATTTATATTTGCATAAATCAATCAAAACGGTAAGTATATAAAAAGAAATGAAAATAATCTATATATAATAAGAAATAAAAACACACATGTTGGTAGGAAACAATAAATTAAAGTTTCAAATTAAAAAAATAAAATGAATTAAAAGAAATAAAAATGGTCTAAATATAGAAAAGAAATAAAAACAACAAAAATATATAGAAAAACAATAAATTTTCCAATTAAAAACGAAAAAATAAATTAATATGGTAAATATGTAATTTATCACTTTAATACATGTATAATTAATACTCACATAACTTATTCCACCTTCTATCCTGCATAATTTATACATAGATACCCTCATAAATTATGTTGATATTAATTATGTAGGACTACAAAAATGCAACCAAACATGGTATAAATTATGTTGACTTCTATACCTAATACAAAACTTCTACCAAACATAGTAAAACTAATACAACTTTTTATACTTGAATAAGATGTCTCTTATAAAGTAACCAAACGGCCCCTTAGTGTTCATTTCTAGAGATAAAATCTTATTCAGATGTGCGTTCATATTTAGGCGTCTTAATTTTAATGAAATAAATGGGCCTGTATTATCTTACTTCATATGATATTGTGAAAATTATATGTTCGATGAAATACACTTTAATATCTACAAATAATAACAGGTAAAGGTAGAGTTGTCCATATGGGCTAGGCTCGTTGGGCCGGCCTGGCCTAATTCGGGATTTAGTAGGGTTGGGCTAAAATTTTTTGAGCCCATTTAACAATAGGACTTTTTAGCCCACCCTGAATAAGTGTGTTGATTTGAGGGTTTGAGAAATATTGGTAGGGCTGACCAGTGGGCAAATAAAATTTAATTAAAAAATATAATATAATACTAAAATTTAAAATTAAAGAGAGTCCAAACTCAAAACAATTAGGTTAATATCTCTATTTAAATATTTATACTTTTTCTTGAAAAAACTTAATAATTTTTTTGTTTTTTGAAAATGGTAATTTAACTTAATAAATATTTTATAAAGACAATTTTATTTGTGAATTTGATTAACAAGTAGTAACATTAACATCATGTAATATTGTTTTGTCGATTTGTATGATAATATTTTAAAATTATAATTTATAATTTATAATTTAATTATTAAATATATTTTTTTTAAAAAAATGGGCTGGCCCGTCAAGCCTGTAGCCCATGTACTTGTAGGTTGGGCCGACTATTTTTCAGCCCACACAAAAAATGGGTTAGCCCGACCTAACCCGTAAAATGTCAAAGCCTGTATAAGTTAGCCCGAATGGGGTGAGTTAGCCCATATTGACAACTCTAGGTAAAGATGGATGTGGTATTGTATGGTAGTGATTATTATCCATGTGGTGGTGCCTGAAAGTATGCATGTAGGGGGTGTTCATCAATAGGTTCAATTTGGTTTTATGTATAATCAAGTTTCAGTTTTTAAATACACTAAATTAATAACATATGTTTTATTAATTTTGGTCCTTAACGATTTGGTATTCGGTTTAACCATGAAAAAAATATTTATCAAACAAATATGTAACTTTTCGTATAATTTTTACCTGACAAGAAAAAAATGTAACTTACAAATGACCATAAAATAGAAACAATAATAACAGACATGAAAAGAACTATACATATAACCCAAACAAAATTAAGAGAAACAAGGTTCTTACTTTAGATTTTGAGTTTTGACGGTTTGTACACTGTGAAATTATGAATTCAAAGACAGTAAAGTATGAACTGAAGGCTAAATAACAAAGACATAACAAATAAGATATTGAGAGTAATAGTTAATATTTATGTATAGATAAAAGTAGTAAATTACTATAGTCTTAATAGGTTATCGATTTATCCAATTACCCAATATTAAAAATCAATATAAAAAATTACCTGATAATTTTTTTTATACGATCATTAAAAAATTGTTAAATCAATAAATTTATAACATTTTTTTCAATTCGATTTATTGGTTGGTTTGATTTTCGCGCACCCCTATATGCATGACAACTGGGTAAGGCTGGTCTGTGTTTGCCTCGGCCCAACCCATTAAGGGATCAACTCAACTATATAAATCAGGAAAATAACACTTGTACCCAAAAAAGCAAACTATTTACAAACAACGACCTCATACTTTCATACCCGCTGTTTCAAATAAAAGTAGTTTCTTAACTAATGGCGGACTTAAAAGGAAAGAAAAAGAGGTTCAAGGATTACAAATAATGAAACTTGCAATTCTTATGAAACGGAACTTGCAAATCTAAGTAAATAGACAAGGAAAACTGCTGCAATAAGGGTCTCCCAATCTAAGTAAATAAACAAGGAATACTGCTGCAATTCAATCTAAAGATTGACAAAACTTGAACCCAGAGTGCAACATGGCTAAAAGTTCACACAAATATATCTTCCTAACAATTTTCAATCAAAATGTAAAGCAACTTTCATACCAAGACTGATTACATTAAAAATACAAAACAATCCCCAAATAGTATAACGTATGTGCTCGAGAAAAATTGGAAAATGTATGAACAATACACTTGCGAAGAAATGCATCATGTATGGATGATACAGTTCCTTGAGTTCTCAAAATGAATGGGTTTAAAATAATCACCCCAGCCTACATCCAGGAAGATCGGGTCGTTCCAATTCACAGAAATGCATCCTTCTCAAGTAGCGTTAGAACTTCATTCTGGTTATTGAGTTTGGCAACATCGATTGGTGTCTTCCCATCCAAGTTTTGAAGAGTGCTGCACAGAGGGAATAAAAATCAAGTAAATAGGATAACAAGTACGAAAAAAGAAAAAAAACAAGAAACAAGGGGCAGCAAGGATCATGACATCACGATGCACAAAGAATCAAGACTTACACAGCTGCTCCATTCTTTAACAACAGTACTACACACTCTTTTCTTCCATAACCAGCAGCATAGTGCAGGGCAGTATTCTTATTCTTGTTCAAAGCATCAACCTCTGCCCCTGCTTCAAGAAGCACCTGAGCACACTTCACCTGTATAGCAATACAGAGAAACAGCTTAATACCTAGAAAATACGCTTAACCTTGGCTAACTTCAAGGATACTACTTCCTTAAATGGCACCTAGTCCATCTTTAAACCTCCCACATCAACAATGTGGGGAACATCCTTTGGATTTGGTGATTGATGTTTCGATATTCTCGATGGATGGTGAAGATGGAAGGTTATTGTTACACAAAAAAGGAAAGAAGAAATTTAATATGCCATTCCACCCTGATGGATTGTACAGTAGAGAGGTCTTATAAGGACCGATTTCTGAGGAAACGAAATAAATAAATCATAATGCCCAGATAATGCAAGAAACTTGGCCATAAAGAACTGACCCATAATTAAATTCACACGATACCTGATCTACATATAATTCCAAATAAGTATCTAATTCGTACCATGCATAGTAAACAACAAAGAAAATATGAAAGGAGGGGAGTCGTGGGACTAGATTTTTACGTATATAAGGCAGCTCCTAATAATAACACTTTAAAATGTACAGTAATCCAAGAAATTCTCTTTTTTATTTGAAGGAAGAATTGTTCTCTTTGGCTGCAAGTTTTGTACCTTAGCTAAAACCATTTGAAAGCCAAATACCTTAGAATGCTGAAATACACAAAACCCTGGATACATCTAGGGGTGGGCATGTCACGACCCAAATCGGATCGCGACTGGCACCCACACTTACCCTCCTATGTGAGCGAACCAACCAATCTAAACCTTAACATTTCAATGTAATAACAACAGAAAGTAATGCGGAAGACTTAAACTCATTAATAAAAACCAATTCAATAACTATCAATATTCAACATCTATTATTCCCAAAACCTGGAAGTCATCATCACAAGAACATCTACTTTAAACTACTAATTCTAAGAGTTTCTAAGAAGCTAAAAATACATAATAAGCTAGTCCATGCCGGAAGTTCAAGGCATCAAGACACGAAGGAGAAGATCCAGTCCAAGCTAGAAGCGTTAGCTCACCCTGAAAATCCGGTGTGACGAAGACTGGCTTGAGTTACTGTTGAGTCGAAGATGACGGCACGTTTGCTGCACTCCACAAATAACAAGAAGAAAAACATAAAAGTAGGGGTCAGTACAAAACACGGGTACTGAGTAGATATCATCGGCCAACTCAAAATAGGGAACAGTATATATATCAATATTATCGTAAATCAACTATAAAACTCAACATATAGCAACAACAAGTATTATAATCATCAATAAGTACCATCAAGTTCATCCATGAGGGCTCAAGCCTCAACACCATACTCATTTGGGAATTAAGTATATTAAGTTGAGTATATTATCATCTTTCAAGATTCATTATCTTTCCTCCTCTTGTGTCGGTACGTGACACTCCGATCCCCTACTACTATGTGTCGGTACGTGACACTCCGATCCCCTAATTCTATGTGTCGGAACGTGACACTCCGATCCACTAATACTATGTGTCGGTACGTGACACTCCGATCCACTAATACTATGTGTCGGAACGTGACACTCCGATCCACTAATACTATGTGTCGGAACGTGACACTCCGATCCACTAATATCATTCTGTAAATCATCAAGTCTTCTCTATACCAAGGCATCATCAATCCCATTACTTTAATTCATCAAGCCTTCTTCTATACCAAGGCATCATCATTAATAGTGTATATTAAAGTTTCTTTTCAAGATTTGGGATTCAATATTTTCATCATGCTTATCTTATCACAATCACGTAATCATATTCATGCAAACATACCATTAAGCATATAGTAGGGTTTACAATACTACCAATACATATCATTCACTATTGAGAGTTTACTTATGAAAGCATGAAAACCATAACCTACCTCCACCGAAGAATTGAATCAAGCAAAAATTTTCCCAAAGCTTTGTTGTTTTCCTCTTCTTCTCGATCGTTTCTCTCTCTCCCTTCTTGTTCTTTCTATTTTCTTAATTAAACCCTCTTTGTTTTACCCTAATTACTATATAATTAAGAATAAAAGATGGCAATAATACCCCACTAATTAACTTAGGGTTACCTCTTTTAACCCCCAAGAATTTGAGTTATTAATATAAACCCACAAAATTTATAATTAAGGAAAGAATAGTCCAAAAACGTCCCTTAAAACGTGTAAGGAAATCCGATTCTGCCTGGGATTTGCGCAACCTGTGACGGTCCGTCACACCTGTGACGGTCCGTCCTGTAGGTCGTCGCAGAGTTCAGAGACCCAAATTTCCACCAAGGGTCTGTGACGGTCCGTCACACCTGTGACGGTCCGTCCTGCCATTCCGTCACAAAGTTCAAAGAGTCGATTTTTAGTACCCAATTTCAGATTTTCTAAGTGTTTTGAAATGAGACCCTGCGACGGTCCGTCGTGCCCATGACGGTCCGTCGTGGGGTCCGTCGCTTCTGCCAGTTTTTCCAGAAATAAAGTCTGCTGCTCAAAACGACTAAACAGGTCGTTACAAGAAAGATACCCACATCTGTTTAAAGATTCAGGTACTCCTCCCCGCCCCTGTTTTTCTTCTTGTGATCGTTATTCGGTATTTCGGTTCGGTTCGGGTTTTTTTGGTTTTTTCGGTTTTCGATTTTTGTAAATTGCGTACCGAATACCGAACCGAAATATTTTGGTTCGGTTCGGTTTTTATTAATTCGGTTCGGTTTTTATTAATTCGGTTCGATTTTTTATTTCGGTTTTTTAATGGGCCTGTTTAGTGGGCTTTTTAAACTTAACAATTTTTTTAATTTTTTGTTTGATTTTTCAACTTAATGGGCTTTGATATTTCAACTTAATGGGTTTTGATATTTCAACTTAGGGTTTCTTATTTTTTAAAAAAAGATTATTTAATATTAATAATTATTAAATATAATATAATTTATAAATTATAATTTAATATTTCGGTTTAAACCGAAATACCGAATACCAAAGTAACATGTACCGAAAACCGAACCGAAATGCCGAAAATACAAAAAATTAAACCGAATATCGAATCGAAAACCGAAATACCGAAACCGAAATTCTGAAAAATTTCGGTTCGGTTCGGTGTTTCGATTTTCCGGTTTTTATGCCCACCCCTAGATACATCTGTAATTATATTAAGCATGGCAATGGCCGTAAGGAACATTTTAACTATTTTCTTACCTCCCCATATTCACATGCAAAATGCAACGATGTCCTTCCTTCTGAATCCTCTTTATTTTTATCAGCAACAGAAGCTATCACATTCTTCAAGCCCTAAAGAGTACCCAGTATAAAAAACAGATCACAACCAAATATCGTATGAACTCACGGTTTAACAAACTTAAGAAGTTATACTGATATAGAAAGGTGGATCATTCATTACAGACGCTAAATACGTGAAAAATCTCAAACGACGTAGCTTCTATTCAGCAATATTTAGTATGTTGACATCAAAGATCCAGGTATATTCAATTGATCCAAAAATTTGGCCACGAGGATGACTTTAGATTGAGAGAAGGGGGGTTGCCGTGAGGGGAATTTTCTAATAGAACACACCTCCACATCGCCCACACTGGCACACTGGTGTACGGAGGATTCATCATCATCTGCTTTTTCTGTTTCATCTGGCCCAGAAACTTCAGCAGAGGTAGCACCCTCCCCTGCAACAGCAAAACCCATTGCTTCACCTAGCTTCTTTAGAACATCTTGATCATTCCAATACCTGAAAAAGGAAAAAGAGAATCATACCTCCAGTTATAGAAACAATTAAAGCATAACACAAGAAGTTAAGAATACAACAAAGATAAAATACTACATAGTTAAGATCAAAGACCAAAGTGCAGAGAACATAAAACCTAGTAAGCTAGAGTAACAGGTATATCTATGTATCTAAGGAAGAGGACTGATGTAAACAATATGCGAGAGCATGGAGCTGCAGGAGCACACATAATATGTTCTATGGACACCAAAAGTCCAACATGTTTCAAAGTTCAGAAGGACTGTGAACAAAAGCACAATGAAATAAATTTCGAAGAACAAACATATTGTTGCATTCTCACATCCATTTCTTCTAATCTCACTCACTTTGTTTCTCCAACACAAATGTATCAAAAGTAGCAACCAAAACTTACCTGCTCTAGAGAAAACACAAGATGAGATTCTTTAATGGGTACTGGCATTGACTAGTTGATACCATCATCAGTCATAAAAGATTCATAACATGTTCTGAGCTCCAGTAAAGATACTAACGCCAGTTGATACCATCAGCTGTCATAAAAGATTCATAACATATGTGAGCTCCAGTAAACACTGTAACTTGAATTTCAAATAATCGTTTATGCTCAATATCAGGACACACCACACTTTCTGTTACATCGTGGCCTTAGCTTAATTGACTTAAGCGGAAAAACTTATACTGTAAAATATCATTAGATCATATTCATTTCAAAAGATACACTAGTGACTCGACAAGGAAAAGTTGTAGATCTCAATCTAAAATATCAAATATCCCAAGTAGGATAAGTCTCATAACTTAGCCACTAGTGCCATCTTTGATATGATCCCAAACCTTATATTTAAGACACATGTATGTTCTAAACTAGACATTAGGTTAAGCAAAAGTGAATGCCACTTATAATGTCAAGTGGGAGCACATATAACCTCATCATTGCAGCTGGACCGCCACTTTCAATCTCTTCCAGAATTGGTTTCAGTGATGGGTCTTCTTTGATGCATGTCAATCGTTCTTCAAGTTGGTCTTTCTGTGATGAGTTTGTCAAATTCTCAAGCATACTAGACATGGATGGATCCTGATACATACAGAAATGACACATCAATAACTCAATTGAATCTTTATGTACTAATAAATCCAGTGGCTAATACAACATGAAAAAAAAGATACCTGCATTAATGCACTACCAAGTTGTTCAGCCATGGACATAAATTGAGGATTTTGCATAACATGTTGCATTGCAGAGTAATATTGTTGGCTATCAAAGTTGGGGATATTATCTTCCTCAGCAGCACCCTGAAAGGTCTGCTGAAGTTGCTCGGTCATCTGATTAAACGAAGGATATTTTGCGATCTGCTCAGCTAGTTCTTTAATACTTGGATCCTACATTAGCCATGTTAGTTAAAAATAAAATAAGATACAAGAATTATAAATGAACATGTCAGAAACCAAGCAGCAGAACATTTATTAATCGAATTCTGATAAATGCATTGTAGGCTATACTATATAAATAAAATTTCATTAACTGTTTAGATCACCAAATATTGGTGTCACAGGCTTTTTATATTTTTTTAGAGCAGCAGCAGAGGTGCACAAATTGTTTACAATTTCATGTATCAAACATTCAACCAAAATAATTATTGGTTACATTCTATTTTTTACTTTCCCACCATCATCTTTTTTGATAGGATATCCTATTACTTGAGAGAAAGAAACCTGAAAAAGATACCATTAATGTTTTTTCCTCACAATGGCCAGCAAGATAGAAATCACTGAGATTAATCTATTATCCGACACGACAAGAAAACTCTTATTTTGTATAGTGATAGATATGTACATTTAATAGTCCAGTCATGGCTGAGAAATCAAACGGATTTTGAAGCCCAGCTCCAGCTGCAGAGGTTTTCCTCGTCTCTCCTGTTTGTGCTTCTGTCGAGGCAGACTCAGAAGCCTTTTTATTCTCAGAAGACCCAGACTTCTCATCTGGAAAAGAGAAAATACAAACCATAAAATAATGTTACAACTTTATGCTCTGTATTCACCATTCTTTTTAAACAAAAATATGGCACAAAGGCAACTTTCTAGATTCAACATGCCATACCATTTCTTACTTTTTAGAAGGTAAAACAAAATGAGAATCTTAAAAACAGCAAAATAATAATTCCAGGTGGTGAGGAAACAATGCACAAATCCAGATGACAACTAGAAAACAATGATAGGATCCAGATGAATAATGATGCAATCAAGCTAAAGGAACAAATAATAAAAGCTAAATTGTATCTTTAGTACTTATCTTGTTTTGTGCCGTGGGTCAACTTCTCTACCTTCTTAAGGAAGGGGTAAGGTACATACTACCCTTTCCAGACCCCACTTGTCGGACTGCACTGGGTTTGTGGTTGTTGTATCTTGATTAAGTTGCAAATGCAATAATTTACTCCTGGACTTAAGTATCTGACAAAACCTATGACTTCCTTCATTCACTAACATGATATGATATACCAATAATCTATTTTGGTCGAACTCTTCAAAAATATCAATGGGTGCATGTCAGATTCTCCAAAACTAGTGTATTTTTGGAGAATCCGAGGGTGCGGCATGGAAATGAAGAGTCCGCACAACTTAGCCAATAACATAAGGCTGCAATTAAATTTATTTACAAGTCAATTCTGGAATTCAGTTCAATATATCAAATTCCATCACAGAAAAATGACAGAATTACACTTTGGCATGAGATATGCTCCCCACTAGGCTGGTCTTTGCTTTGAAAGGTACCATCAGGCATCAGCTCAGTTCATCTATGTGGCTTACCTCAGTTAGCATCAGTACCACAAATTTTTTCTTGAAATCTACGGAGCAAAATAAACATAATGGTTTAACATGGTTGCTTCTTTTCTAGCCGGTTTTGGTCTTACTGCTTTTAACATTAGCACAATTCACCTTGGCCAAATTAATTCTTGAAATTCCAAATCATGCAAGTCAGGTAGAACTTGTAGAAAACTAATGAAATCATCATCTACCTACTTCAAATTACATACTACATCCCATTAGACCTGTCTTGCCCAAACACCATAGTACAAACATATCACGTGTATTGATTGGGAGAAGTCTAAAAATATGATCTTTAATACCCATCAATTGCTCATATTAAGCATCACAAGTTGTAGAACCTATGTAACATATTGATACATGGAAAAAAAATTCTCCTTTGAAAATTTTCAAATTGCTCCTGAGCAATATAATATATGCATGTATAAAACTAGAACTAGAATATAACAGGGGAGAAGGAGAAGAGTGAAAAGACATACCTTCTTTTGCAGTCAGTACAACTTTCTCTGCCTGAACAGTGTGAACATATATGTATTAGCGTTACTGTTAACCAAAAAATGAAAAAATGTAAAAGAACCTAAATCAATCCCCCAAAGAAAACAATCCTCAAACTTACCAATATAGGGTAAAAAAGCAAAAAAAAAAAAGGTGTAAAAATTCACTGTGTTAAACAATTTAAAATCCAATATGTTACAACAATAGCCTCCAGATTAATGAAAAGATTTGAAACAAATACATGCAGAGAGGATTAACTATGGAAGAAAATACATGAGACATTGCTACAAGGAAAGAGAAGATGTGGGGTTTCCTTGCCTTCTTTGCTGGAGAACTGAGGCTTATAGTAGTAGAAAGAAATAAATGCCAACGGGAAAGGCTAATTTGTAGCTTTGCTCCTATTTTAGGCTGGCTCTCTCTTTCTTTTTTTTTCCTACACAAACTACTTTTCAAGTTTAGATTGTGTTTAAGTAAAATATACACAAATTATATATCATTACTTCTAAAGAACTTATGTCCCAGTTATGAGGATAAATAATTTTTTTTACATGAAGATAAATAATTTTTTCCGATGACATAAGCGTAGATTCTTACATTAATATATCGCACGGATTTTATATGTTAAAATTTAAGGAATCCCATAGTGTAATTCAATAATTACATTATGTCCCGATAAATTTAATATTTACTAAAAATCCCTTAAAATTTTTGTGTCGTGATACTTTAGACTCTAGTGATACATGGTAAATGATACATGGTAAATTTAAACTGTAAAGAAAAAAATGGGGAAAAATGGTACATTTAAACTTGTTAACTAAATTAGCTTAATTTACGGTAACAGATCATTAATCAACATTAAATTAGCACGTAATTGGATATTAATTCCAAATTTTGAAAATCAAAAATTATATCATCTATTTTGAATACAATTTTCAAACCGCATGATACATAGAAAACATTATGATACACAACAAATTCATGTATCAATGCATCGTCTTAAACACTATACACAGTGATTCAAAATGTATCAGCAAGCACACTTGATGGATTCACAAATATATCAATGCATCATCTAAAACACTATACACACTTGATGGATTCAAAATGTATCAACAATCACACTGATTCAAAATGTATCAGCAAACACTTCATGTATCAATGCATCGTCTAAAACACTATACACACTGATTCAAAATGTATCAGCAAGCACACTTGATGGCGCAATTATTGAAATTAATCACTGATACATGATAAAAAATTTCAAAAACCCTTGATACATAGGAAATCATAAGATACGCATCTAATTCATGTATCAAATCATAGACTAAACATTATAATCCACTTAGTACTTATGTATTAAACCTATTGTCTGATACATGATAATAATTTTCATAAGTTTTTGATACATATTGGATTCCTTAAATTTTTTACTAATTTCAACGACAATTTTAAAATAAGTATAAAAATACAAACCCGAAACAATGTAGGCCTGAATCATATATCCAATTACGTGCTAAACCACAACATGATTTAAAAATACACATAATATGTGCATAGCTCCTCCTATGCATAACAGTAGTGACTTACAATCACTGGTGGCAATTTAGTCGTGAATATGAGGTGCTTCATATTCATGCTAGTTGCATTAGTCACCACAAAAGCTCTAAATTGTCATCGAGGAAAGGTGATTTTCTGCAGAGCTTGTTGTAATTAGTCACCATACACTCTCTTTATCATGTGCAAAGCCGGAGTAAAGTTTAGTAAATGTTGGAGTAAGAAGAATTAAAGACGTGGTGGAGTAAGAGGAATAATAAGAACGGGAGAGAAATTGTGCAGTTTTTGAAATTTCAATTTTTTTTGAATTTTGAAATTCAAAATTTCAAAATTAATAATTCAAAATCCAAAAACTGATTTAGAAGATTGAGTGTTTTAGTGGAGAAAAAATAGGCATTATATTGGGGGATTGTATATTATAGGTGAGAGAATGTTATGTATCTAATACACTTCTACTAAAACTAAAAAAAAAAGGAAATTATGTAATATTTAAAAAAAAGAAGGGAAAAGTAGAGAATATAAAACTTATAGTTGTGTATTTAAGTTATTTTTCCATTTTATATTGTATCCTTAAATAAATCTGTTCTCCGCTAAGTATATATTCAATTTTTGAAGAAAAAATTTATAAACCATCCTATTTAAAGAACAAAAAATTAAAATTATCTCATTTAACGCATAAATCTTTCAACTAAATAAATGTAAATAAAAGGATTTAGTGTGAGATAAAGGGTTCTCCAAGAGGTATAGTATTTAAAATGAGAAAATAGTCGGATGACTTTCAATTTATTATTCGATTTTCAGTTACACACTTATATTTTACGGAAATCTAATTACCTCCTTGGATTATTATTTAAATGGCATAATCCATAAAATATGCCTTTTACTTTACCTCATTTTATATTTATGTCCTTCAACTTTGAGTGTGCACAAACAAAAACTAGAACTTGTATAAAATTGAACAAATAAACCACACGTCTTATGTGACATCCTACATGGAAATTAGCACCCTACGTGATGTCCTATGTATGTTATGTTAGATAGGACTCATGTGTCTACTTGTTCAACTTTATACAAGTTTAAGTGTCTATTTGTGCGCACCAAGTTGGAGGATATAAATGTGAAGTGAGGCCAAGTTAAAGGACATATTTATGTATTATGTCTTTTTAAAATGAAATAAGTAGCTCCTTAAGTGTTGAGTTGACATAAAAAGTGTCACCCCCGAGCTACCCCCGAGACGAGGACACGGAACCTAGGACCACAAGTGATCCCAAGATAACCCTGCTGGCATGATCATGAGTATACTAAAGATAATAAATTGATGCGGAAGCTAATCATAATTAAATCTGAAAAGATGGGGAATACCCATATTCTATAATTGAGATATTTGAAAACAATGAGTTTAATACAAAGAAAATATTAACTCAATACTAAGCTGAATCTAACTATGTCTAAAATAAGCCTCTAAACTAGACTAGAAATACTGGGACAAGCCCCAAGCTAAATCTAGCAAAAACTGAAACTAAATGACTAAAGACTGAAATGAAACTCATGACTGTTTTCCTCAGAGAATAAGGACTCACCACTGAATCTGCTAAACTGGAGATCGGAAATCGATCTATGCGTGATCTGGATGCTGAGAATCCGAACCTACATCACGAGAAGATGTAGCGCACGTATGTGTCAGTATTTGAAAGGTACTGAGCATGTAGGATAGAGTAAAGCTGAAATAAAACATAACTGAATACGCATAATAGCCAGTATAATAATCTGACATAATAAACTGAATTTTGAGCTAACTGGATGCAATGACCAATTTATAACATGCTGAAACTGAATACTAAATATACTGATAAATGGTCAATGCAGAGAGTCTGAATAATCTATGGGAGCTACTAATAACCGATAATAAAATCACATGAGCTAAATGTGGAATCCGATGTATACGCCCCATCGAGAGGACCCAATATACCCTGCCAGAGGTATAGAGGCATGCTGGCATGATCACTAAACTGATTGCCCACAGAGGAGACTTACAAGCTATTTTGGCTAGTAGTTGTAGGACTATTTGGGTACGCTGAACCCTAGTCCAACTCGGTATTATGCTACTCCAATAAATTCTGAAAATTTAATGATTATGTCTGAGTTTCTGTAAAAACTGAATAGCTCGAAACTGAACATGCAAAGGTATTATGCATTTATAACTGAGGCATGTATATCTGAAGTGTCTGAAATATATGACCTAGCATGTGTAATTCAAGAACTAAAGAAATACAAAGCTAGGGTTCTGAAATTCATGTAATAAACTGAATAATAACATGATAATATGATTTGGAACATATATTTAATAGGTTCATGAAGTTCTATCAAAGTTCTAGAAACCTTAGGTTTAATCATATGATTATAGAATCAAGAATCTGACTGAAAACTAGGGACCCAATGGGTGAAAGAAACCCACTAGTGAAATCTCACGTACTTGATGATGTAATTCACAGACAAACACTTAACTTTGGGTCTGGAACTGCTGGAAACTTGCTTCATTCTTGAACTAGGGTTCTTGAGCTTTTTCTCCTTTCTTGCTTCTAATTTTCTAACTTTTGATTTAATAATGTGACTTAGATATGTTTTAATTATGTTTCTAGGCTTAAACTGACTTAAATATGATGATTTACGGTCAAAACGACGTAAATTAGAGTTTAAACAAAGTGGGAAAGGTCAAAAAGACCCTCGGGAAAGTTGTTGTCGGACCAAACGACGGCCAGGAGTGACGGTCCGTCGTCTGACCGACGCCCCATCGATGGGTCCGTCGACCGGGCCTGTTTGATACGCCTTTACTAAAATGGACATAACTTTTTACTCGAATGTCTGATTTAGCAAGGTCGGTGGCTATGGAAATATAATTTAATTATCTATCTGTGGGTAGGTTATGGGACAAGTAATTCATTTTGTACTATGAGTTATGACCCTTTGAAATTGACCCAACTTCATTTCCCCTTAACTGTCTGCAAAATTTTCACCTACATACCGTGCTGGTTATCCGTAGCTCCTGTAAGAGAGTGGGTGAAGGGAGTGTTGATCGATGGTCACGGACTACAGACTGTCGTCTGACCTACGGACCGTAAGTCCGTCCGTCGTCCAAGAATTAACCGATTTTTCTAGGCTGAAATTATTTTGGGAGTTTCAGATCCCATCGACTGTTGTGCAGGATGGATCGTGGGTCAAGCTACAGACTATCGATGCCACCGTTGGTTGCACTTGCATATTTTTTTTTGTAAAGCTATTTTTGGTATGTTTTGGCTACGGGGTGTTACATTATCTTCCTTTTGAGAACATTCGTCCTCAAATGAAGACTAAACTAGCTGAAGTAGAGGGAGAGAGCTGCAAACCCTACTACTAAACACTAAGAACTGAGTTTCTGACTGAATTGAGTTCCGAGTACATGCAATTATGCTGAAAATGCAAGT